ATTTAAATTATAGTCATTTATTTTTATATTATAAATAAATAGATAAATTTTAATAAATATCAAATTAAAATTTATATTCATTTTTTAAGTCTAATAAACACTACAGTGAGATAGGTTTTAACGGCGTTTTAAAATGAAACGCCACTAAATTTGAACATAACGCGACATTTACGGTTAGAACGCCACAAAACAAAGACATTATTGACGTTTACGATTTAGCGCCGCAATAGTAATGTACCTATGGAGTCATTTTTATTAAAAACGCCGCTATTGACTCTTATAAGGCGACAATTTTGGTAAACGCCTTATAAGGCGACAATTTTGGTAAACGCCACTACCGACGTGTATTTTAGTGGCGTTTGTGTAATAAATGCCACAATATGCATGTACCTGAGTGGCGTTTGTGGCCTATACAAAAGTTGTAAAATGTCCCACCTAGAATGCTCAGGTATCAATAGGAAGATGCAGTCAGGTTTTGAAGTTTAAAAAAAAGGAGAGGTATTATGAACTTTGAAAAGTAATATTATGTCACTATAATTTTGACTTTATAAGTCATGTAAATTCAAATTTTAGGACTGAGAGCACATTGGTATTGCTAGCAGACAACAACAAAAGTTTACTCACACAGTTGTATTAAAGAGCTTTGCTCATGTAGCTAATAAAGAGGTATTCTTTTTTAATTATAATTATTCACCTAGTGACGAATATTTTTCCTATTATTTATTACTTTTTTGTAAGTATTAATTTATATTATACATTGTATGAAATTACGTCTGGCAATAAAGTTGGACAAATAAAGTTATTCAAAATGACACTTACAAAAAAGAATGACTCTCCTATGACAATAAAGTTGGATAAATAAAGTTCTTCAAAATTTATATTATAATATTTTATTTTAAATAATATTAAAATTCATTCTAAATTCCTAACTGATTATTAAGAAAAATTGAGTGATAAAAGGATGAAGATGAAGCTATGGATTCATCTCATGATTCCATTAATGTGGACGAGATTGAAAAATAAGTTATTGAAAATGTTTTCGGTCCCAAAAGTTATGGTCGAGTTCATTGTCAGGGATCATTTGTTACTCCATCCAAATATTTTAAATATAGTTCGTCTCAGTACATGTCATCACAGAGCGAGTCTTCTCAATCAGAAGTATTCAATTAAAACAACAATTAGCTGAAGTGGATGAAAAATTTACTCAAATGAAAGTCGAAGCTGAATCGAGAGAAGCAGAGAAGCGGAGAGAGAAGTAACATATAAAAATACGATGAACTTCAAAAACAACTTGAAGCTGTGAAGCATATGATGCAGCAAAATCAAACCATTCACCACCTGTATGTACTTATTTTCGTCTGGGAACATTAAATAGTTATATAGGTCATATACATTTGAAATATATATAATGTATATTTTTTGAAACACGAGTTTTTAAAATATATATGTAATATATGGTTTTTAAAATATATACATTTGAAATTATACTTTATATATATAGTTTTGAAATTATAATATATATAGTTTTAAAACGTATATATAATATATAATTTTGATAAAAAAAAATATATATATAATATATTGTTTTGGAAATTATAATGGTTTTTGAAATTATAACATATAGTTTTTAAAACGCATATATATAATTTTTAAAACTTATATATTTTGTCAAACATATATCTATATTTTTATTTCTTTTTCATTTTATTTTTATTGTTATGTTGCAGGTCCAAATAATGTTTTGTCCAAAAGAAGTCCAGTATGGGTAATAGGTCAAATCCAATCTTCTTGACCCAGCAAATTAGGGTATGATATCATAAAGTCCAGCAATCAAGGAGCCCAAAACCTGCAAGGCAGCCTGATCCAACAAACCAAGGGGGCTATTAAGGTTTCCCATTTTAGTAGTGGCGTCGCACAAACAAGATCCATCATATCCGAGGGTGAATGAATGGTTCAAATTTCATCAGAGGATCACCAAACATCATCGGTCATTTGATTATCGGCACGTGGTCTTCATGCGTGTCGACGAAACAACACCATACGCACTGAATCAAAGCCATTTCCAGATTTTTGGCAAGAAATCAACACCAAACCGTGCCAAAATCACGGCTGAATCTCAAGAAAATAAAGCAACAATTAGACTAAAATAAATGGAAATAAATTGACATGTATCGCAACCAAATCCCAAAAGGCTAAATAAAAAAAAACAACAGAATAAAAAAAAGCAATATATCATTCTTTTGTGAAATCCATTAATTTCGAGATTGAGTGGGATTTTCAAAGATCCCATATTCGTAGGAGGGAGATTCCTTCACCAAGCCTATAAAAACCCGGTAAGATGAAAAAGAATGAGGATGAGTTTGAACCATTGAAAAATCGAGAAAATAAGAGGGAGAAACACTCGAAAATACCCATAAAAACACAAAAAAAAATTAAAAGGGAGGAGCACTTAGCTTTCGGATTCACAGGAAGGACAAACGACCGCCGATAAGTTAATGGAGCATCGATGAAAACAGTAAGTTTCGAATCATGCACAGTTAGATCCACTATATTTGAGTATGATCTACTATCTGTATTTGTAATTGTCGGTGAAATGGTAGAGACAACCATCAAACAAGGGAAGATCGAGGGAAGCAAGTCTCATAGGAGGCCATCCTTAAAGATTAAGGAATGGGAGGTCAACAATGTGAGCGTCATTAGTTCTGGAAAGGGTGTCACAGTCTCAAGGCCAAAGTCAACAGCACTATCAGGCCAGATTGACCCAATACAGCGGCCGGCGAGGCGGTAGCCGCCGGATTCTGGATTTTGGAGTGGCCGTGTTTGAAGAATGAGAGAATTTGGGGGGAGGGACCTTTCAATCGGTTTTGTGGGGTGAAATAAAATGAAATTGTGTTATAGGATTGGGTTTTATACCCAACCCGTGGAAGACCCGCCGACCCGATCCATAACACTCTGACCCGCGTGTTTTAAAAAAGGGTGAATTACATTTTTGGTCCCCCCGTTTTTTGAAGCTTTGATTTTGCCCTTTATATTTTTTATTTCATCTGTTTTTTATTCTTTATTTTATTTTATTTATTTTCATCACCTTTTTTTTCTAACACGTTTCTCGAATTTTTAAGAGTATACTTTCGAATCGATCAAAGGTAAGTAATTTGGATTGTTATTTTACCTTTTACTTTAACTTATCACTTTCTTAATTAAAGACAACTGAAAATTAAATAGTACTGAAAGGACAGTTTAAGGGTGCTAACCCTTCCTTGACTGTAATCGTCTCCCGAATCTGACATATCTTTGGTAAGATGTAGATCAGGTAAGAAATCGAGGTATCTGATCAACCTATTTGTTTTTAAAATAAATGATCGGTGGCGGCTTCAACACATTTCATTCAAGTCGAAGCCCAATTCCGGATCCACCCGAAAGACGGTTCCGACAATCCTAATACCTGAATTTCCGAACATATTAGGTGATATCTTGCATTGAGAAATAACAATGATTGTAAGAAATCTTTTTTTATTATCAAGTTAAAATTATATTTAAAAAATTTAAAATTAAAGAATCTAAAAATAAAAAAATTAACCAATTAAAACTTAATCAGACATAGAAGTAATTGCACCGGGAATTTATTAATGTCATCTAAATAGTACAAAATTATATCCTTAAATTTATTCGATTCTTATTGAACATTATAGAATGCTCTACTTGTAAAGGTTTCTTTTTGACGGTACGTTGATCATGTAAATTGTAAATTGTAAATTATAAACATTTAACTACATGTCGTGTCATAGCCTATTTTTGTTTACCATAATCTATATTTGATTACGTAAATTAAAAAAGAATTTTATATATAATCAATAACTAATTTTTAGTGTCTAAAGGAAAATAAACATTAAACTAATATACTTTAGTTATTACCCGAGGAGCTTGAGACCCGAGCTAACCTTGAAGATATCCTTGCTCACGAGGAGGTCCTATGGTAACAAAAATCTAGAAGCGATTTTCTTGATGCAGCTTGAGTTGTATCACCATAGAACCAGTAGTTTCCCTTCCCCCCACACCTATAAGAGATCTAACTAATATACTTGCATTCGCTTGACTGCTTTTTGGAAAACGTGATGCAGCTTGCTATGAGAGGAGACAAATGAAGAGGATCTACTCTCCCCTTTTGGAAGGAATATTGGCCTTTACCTGGGATTCGAATGGATCGAGGTAACATTGTTGTTGCATTATTGATGTAGTTGGAATATTCAACTAAACCATTTTTATAATAACTAAACCAATTTGGCATTTTCAAATGCTGCTACCACCTTGGACAGACAAACAAACAACATTCTTGCACCGATCAGCACACACGGCAAATACTCCGCCACCATACCTGGATATGGTCTTTAGAAGATACACGACCACCGGAAAAGGTTATGCTATTCAGTATGATCCTAACTGCTCTTGAGTAGCTATGCTTAGCAGCAAATCACTAACAGTTTAGAAGAAGAAAAGAGGACGACGAGTCAAACGGTCGGTCAAATATACTGAGTCAGCTGGTTTAACGTACCACGTCAGCATTTCGTTACTGCAGTAATGATTGTTAGCAGATGTTAACTTCAAGTGACTATTTTATAACAAACGATAACGTTAATGACCGATTTGTGACTTTTGAAACATCAGGGTGAAAACGAATTTTAACCTAAATATTAGTGACCATTGATGTAGTTTACCCTAATAAATTTTAATTTAATTCACTTATAATAATTTAATTACTTATTTTTATATTAAGACTTTTAAAAAATATTTTCAAAGCTGCGGTAAAGTGAAATGTGCTCGAGTCAATCTTCAATGCACTGTCCTGTTTCCTCACAAAATCATACTCCCACATTCATACCTCATCATCATTTTTTACACAAAGGGAATATTGTTAAGACCTTCTCTGCCTTTTTTTTTTTAAATGGTCATTTTGTTCTCGTTCTCTTCAAAATATTAAACACAGTTGTTTAATGACATGTCTCTCTCTCTCTCTCTCTGTTTTATCATTTCTTTTGTGCACTGTCCTCTCTCTCTTTATCTCTCATGTCTAGTGAATAGCAAAAGATAAACCTTTGTCTATCATCTCTCTCATTTGTTTGAGAAAAGTAAAGTTAGAAATCTCAAATCCCTTTTCTCAAAGGGTGAGTGATTCTGGGGGAAAAAAACCTCATCAAGCTCATTTAGATCCCTACCAAATCTGCAACCAAAAGACCATGATTTGATCCAAAAAAACCCACCCCAAAAAAATGGGTTTTGGTTTCTCTTCAAAACCCTTTTTCCTTTTCCTCTCATTCCTCCTTTTCTCTTCTCTTCTTCACCTTTTCCCCCCAGTCGAATCAGCTCCAGACTACACCACACTAGTCTACAAAGGCTGCGCAAAGCAGTCCTTCACAGATCCAGCCGGGATTTACTCCCAGGCCTTATCGGCCATGTTCCAAACCCTGGTTTCACAGTCCATGAAAGTGAAGTTCTACAAGACAACCACCGGCACTGGCCAAACCACAATCACCGGTCTCTTCCAATGCAGGGGAGACCTCAGCAACACCGACTGCTACAACTGCGCCAGCAGGCTCCCGACTTTAGCCGACAAGCTTTGCGGCAAGACATTAGCTTCAAGGATCCAACTTTACGGATGCTACATGCTGTACGAAGTCGCCGGCTTTACTCAAATCTCCGGCATGGAGATGCTATTCAAGACTTGCGGCGCCACCAACGTCGCCGGAACGGGCTTTGAAGAGAAGAGGGACTCCGCCTTCTCGGTGTTGCAAAGTGGGGTTGTCAGCAACCATGGATTTTACGCCACAAATTACCGATCTGTTTACCTCTTGGGGCAATGTGAAGGAGATGTGGGGGATTCGGATTGTGGGGAGTGTGTGAAAAGTGCTGTTCAGAGAGCTCAAGTAGAGTGTGGGAGTTCCATTTCAGGTCAAATTTATCTCCACAAGTGCTTTATTAGTTACAATTATTATCCTAATGGGGTCCCTAGAAGGTCATCATCTTCTTCTTATGCACATTCATCTTCATCTTCATCTTCATCAGGTAATTGTATTTCATTTCTTTTGAATACCGATGGATGCATAAATTTTGGGTATAAATTATTTTGGCACACCAAAAGTAGCCCCTAATGTTTACTAAAATAGTCATTTTGATCCTTATTTTTGGAGCATTTTAAAAATGCTCCTCCATGGATATAAACCATTAATTAACAATCATTAATTCTCCAAAATATGACATTTTTCCTCTAAAATGAAATTTTAGGACCATAATACTTCTGAATAAAAGAATAAGGTTCAAAATGACTATTTAATCAAATATTATGTACTTTTTAACCAAAAAAAATAAGATGTTGGGATCAGGATGCTCCATAAAAAAGAATAGGGTTCTGATAGTTTATTTTGAGATTGTGCCAATTATGTATTTGATTGGTGTAGGAACAGGGCAAAACACAGGGAGGACAGTGGCTATAATCTTAGGAGGGGCAGCAAGTGTGGGATTCCTTGTCATTTTGTTGATGCTTGCAAGGAATGTCATGAAGAAGAAACATGATGGTATGTGCAAACTTTGATCTCAATATTGAAAAAAAATTGTTTTTTGTGTGTGTGTGTGTGTGAGAGAGATTCATGATTTTTTTCTTCTTCTTCTTCAGATTATTGAATTTTGAAATGGGTTCCTCGTGAGGAAAAAGAAGCATATTAATTGGGGGTCTCACCTATCAAATTGAATTTGAAGATATGAAAATTTTTGTTATTTTCAATGAAAATGTAAACATGAATTTTTTTTCCACAAAATGTGAAAAAGAGAGGATATATCGTAAAACTACTGTTGTTTTGTTTTTCCTTCTTCCTAATTTAGCAGCTTTTTATTTCCTGGCCATGTGGGTGTTTGTTTTTTCTTTCCACCCTCCATTTTCTTCATGTCTTTATATGCTTTCCATGAAGTACTTTAGCCATGGTGCTTCCTTTTTATTTTGATTAAATTATACAATCTTTTCATGAAAATGTTGCCCTAGATTGAACCAGTATTTTTCTTTTCCTATTTAGACTGAAATATTTAATAGTACTGCTGCACTATATTTTACTTAATTTTGATAGTCATTTTCATATTGAAAATCTGAAGACTTCGAAAGGAATGGTAGTTGTGATTTGCAACCTTGTAATTTCTAAGAACTTAAATTTTACAAGTAAAGAGATGGCAGAACTGAAAACTTCAAAAACAATAAAAATTTAGATATGCGCTCAATTTCATAGTTGTGATAATTAATCTTATCATTGTTTTTATCTTTCTTTATTTAACTATTTGTATCTAATATATTATTCGATAAATAACCTTTCGAGAATAGAAAGTGTAACATCCTAATTCGATCTAACTTAAAATTCGAAGGATTTGAATTTTACACGAAATCATCGAGGTGACTAACCATTTTTTCTTTTAAAATCAATTAACATTGTAAATCATTCATCAAATAAAATGATAACGTAAACGTAGGTTTAAAGCATGTATTCGTACCGTTCACAAAATAGGAGCCCTAAATAGTATATTTAAAAATAAAAAAGATATAAAAATGTAGTTTACGACTCAAAATACATCACCAACCTTAATGGGTTTCAGCTTTTAAAATACTTTAGGGGATAATTACCTCTCCAATTCTCTATCTTTTAAATCCACTTCAAAAATACACTCTTTTAGGCCCAACTATGCCTAACAATTCTCAACAAGGACCCAAAGCTTTTAAATCCACTTCAAAAATACACTCTTTTAGGCCCAACTATGCCTAACAATTCTCAACAAGGACCCAAAGCATCTTGGTAGACACTTAGACTTACCTATACTAGCTTGGAATGACTCGAAACTACTAACTTGAAAATCGAGGCGTTACAGAAAGAAATTCGAAGTACTCACATTTGTGAGCTTACTCCACCTGCATAAACCCAAACTTCTTTTTATATTTTTGAACCATCTCGGTTTTATTTTTTTTTGAATTTGAGTGTCTTACTTATTATTTTTATATTTAACATTTCTTTATTTAATGGTTTAAATATAAATTAATTATGTGCAAAAAAACATTTGGTTAGTTGGTTAAATTGTTCATCTTTATTCTCTCATATTCCTTTAGGTCATAGGTTCTAAACCACTAGGAACACTCACCTTCCTTATCTTAAAGTCCTCTTTTCCTCTGCTCTAAGTAGGATTAGATTTAAAAATTGTCAAATAAAAAATATATATTAATTACGTAAACCCATATAATTTATAAGGGTGATAAAGTTCGTATTTAACGACATTAAAATCCTAAGGTTTTATACTTAACACTTTTTCATCAAATGAATGTTCTTTGGTAGAATAAAATTTTCAGCCCCTAATTTTATCAGTTTAACCATTTTAGCCTTTAAAGTTTTATTGTATCTCTTTCGGCATTGAACAGTTATTTTATTGCCAAATTGACCCAAATATGATAGGACAGTAACAACTTCGTTAGGATGATATTAGTTATTTTACTCATTCTTCTGTCAACAACAAATTTAAAAATAATTTTATAATCTTTATAACAATAAAAGTTTGAAGAAGCTTTTACATCGATGAGAATATCCTTTATGCTTAATTATACTACTAAATTGATATTAAAATATTATTTAATATACTTGTAATAACTATAAAATAAAAATAATATTAATTAAATTAATTAGATAAACAAAATAAAGTTTTTTTTTTAAATAACATCATTACAATGAAGTGCATCCGGAAAAAGAATATTAGAGATACACATTGGAAGTCATAAGCAAAAAAAAAAAAACATGACTAGATAAAGAAAAAGCATATTGTGCAATACCATGTGCTGCATTATTGGTCGAGAGACGGATGCAACGAACACTAGAATTACACTTTTATTTTAAGTTATTGAAATTTATAAACAAACAATATATTAATATAAAATGTATTAATTATTTTTAATTACAAGAAATAAACATATATATATATAATTAAATAAAGTAAAAATTAAATGTAAAAATACACGTGAAGTGCACGTGTCAAAAGAAATTAGGGTAAACTACCAAAATGGTCACTTGCCCTTTTACATTTATACACTTTTACTCATCAAATTTAAAAAAAATTAATTTTTGTTGAAGTATGAATAGCATGAATTGATGATGTCATGCTAAAGTCATTGGTGTGTGTAAGTAGTATTTGTTATAAAGCTTTTAGGATGTGTTTGGTTAGGGGAATGTGAGATTCTCATGGGAATGAAATCCATATTCTCCCGTTTGGTTGGCCGGGAATGTCATTCCCAGTAATATTACATTACCAATAGTGAATTTTTTGGGGGTATATTACCGGGAATGTCATTACCTCCATTTCCTTAGGTATTGTTGGATTACTGACGTTTTGGACTAAAATGCCCTTAAATATTTTTTCAAAAATATCCTTATTCTGTCATTGAATAATAAAAATTTTACGAAGGTTAAATTATAAATTTATCCTTAAACTATTTTAAATTTACAAAAAAAACTATAATTAAAATTTTATATGAAGTTTAGGGGTTAAAATAAAATTTTACCCTTAGATTAAACCTTTTTATATTTTCAATTTTGTAAAAAAAAATATAAATTTTATGAATTTAATTTTTTTAAAGAAAATATATAAATATTTTTCAACTTGTTAAAAAAACAAATATATAATAAGGACAATATGGTCAGATATAAATTCTAATAATCTTTTATTTCTTTAACCAAACACGGTAATTTTACATTTCTGCTAAACAACCAAACACAAAATACAACATTCCCATTAATCCTATTCCCTGATAATCTTACATTCTCACCGATAATCTTACATTCCGTGAACCAAACGTATGGTTTATTGTGTGACGTGTCCATGCAGTTACAATTCCTTTGTGTAGGCATGTGTGTTATAAATAGTTGGGTTTGTAGTCATCCTATTTACACCTTTTGCGTAAATAAAAGCTTCCTTATTTTTCATATTTTCTCTGTCTAACATGGTATTAGATGTCTATGATTATGTGGTATTGGTGTATGCGATGGTCACGGTTGTGTACACTTGATTAACAGACTACCCACTAGAGTGTTTCAAGGTGTTTCGACGTTTCAGTGGTTGTTTAAGCAGAGCCCATCGCATGGTTCGAATATTTGGTTGCAGGTGTTTTCCTCATTTACATGACTTTCAGTCTCATAAACTAGCTCATCGATCACAACATTATGTGTTTCTTGGGTACAGCACTCAGCACCATGGGTATCAATGCTTGGCGTCAGATGGGAAGGTATATGTCTCGAGGAATGTCATTTTTTATGAGCACGAGTTTCTTGCTATAGAATCATAGTGTCTTGAGTCTTTGAAAGATCCAGCGTATAAAGCAACATCAGTGTATATGGTTCCTGAAGCGAGTCAAGTGTGTGGTGCATCATCGGATATGCAAACTACTCTACGAGTGATGTAGGAAGAGACGCATCAGCACGAACCTGGTGCTAGTGTTAACTGCTCCAGTCTTGCCTAGCACTCAACCTGCTAGCAGTGGTAGGATTGTTCCTAGGTCTACGATGGGTGCATCAAATCAACTGGATGTTCTTGTTGATATAACTTTACCTGAGGTTGAGCATGATAATCCGGTTGCTAACTTGAAAGAACCAGCAGTTAATGCTGATGTTGTTTCTTCAACTGGGCATCCATTGGTTACTCGTAGTAAACGAGGTATTTATAAACCAAGGATTTTTATTGCTCAGAAGCAAGTTGATAGTGATGAACTAAGTACATTCGTTCAGGCTCTTTGGCATCCGCTTTGGAAGGAAGTCGTGTTAGCCGAATATGATGCTTTGGTACAAAATGGCATTAGGTGTTTGAGCCTCTATCACCAGGTCGCACAGTCATTGGGTGTAAGTGGTTGTTTAAAGTAAAACGCCATGTGGATGGGTCAATTGCGAGATACAAGGCTCGTCTTGTGGCACGAGGATTCTCTCAGGTTCTTGGTTCTGATTTTAAAGACACATTCAGTCCAGTGGTTAAGTTGACCACGATTAATGTTGTTCTTTCACTGGTTGTTGCTCACGAGTGGAATTTATGACAGGTCGATGTGAATTTTCTCAATAACGATCTCGGTGAGGAGGTGTTCATGACATAGCCACCAGGGTTTGAGCAAACAGCTACTGACGGTTCTCGTCTTGTAGTCCGTTATAGAAAGCGTTGTACGAATTATATCAAGCACCTCGTATGTGGTACTCTAAGCTTCGACAATCCTTGTTGAGTCTCGGGTTTGTTGGGGCCTCAACTGATACCTCTATTTTTGTTTGATTGAGTCAAGGAGCTCGCACGTTTGTGCTCGTGTACGTCAATGACATTATTGTCACAGGGGAATCTCAGGCTGCTATTGATGAAGTTGTTCGGTTATTGAGTCAGTGGTTTTCTCTGAAGGATCTCAGTGAGCTCAGTTATTTTCTGGGTATAGAGGTTCAACGAGGACCTGGACAACTTGTTTTACGCTAGAGGTAGTTTGTTCATGAACTTCTAGAGCGTACATGCATGGTTGGTGCAATGCCTACCCCAACTCCGATGGTTGTCCCACCAAACTTAACTCAAGATGTTGGGAAGCCACTTGTTGATGCATTAATCTATCGTAGTATTGTGGGATCGCTACTTTATCTGTGTCACACGAGGTCCGATATTGCGTTTAGTGTTAATCGAGTTGTGTAGTACATGCATTGTCCGTGTGAGGGATATTGGATCGCTATTAAGCGTATTTTAAGGTATCTTTTTGGCATCATTAATCATGGTCCGGTGTTTCGCTCAAATGCATCCACTGATATTTCATCTATCACTGCGTTTGTTGATGCAGATTGGGTTAGTAATGTCGATGATAGGCGATCAGTGTC